TTTGCGAGTATGCAGAGCTATAAGGAAAGTGCAGAGAAGTTACTTCCTGCTCTCTTTGCAGATGCTGGGGAAGAGGATGGAGGGGATGGCGTCCGCAGCGTGGGTTCGTTGTCTCTTTACCAGGTCGAGAATTCCAGACTCGGTATGTGTTTCAGTAGATGAGAAACTGAAAAATAGATATTAGCTTGCTTAATTCTGTGCCTTCTGTGGTATGGCAGACTTCTAGAGACTGTGAGAGGAGCAGGTTCACAGTGTGCCGAGTGAGGAATTGGCTAAACAGCAAGGCTCAAAGGGTTGTAGTGAATGGGGCTACATCTGGCTGGCGACCGGTCAGCATCCCAGGGCCAGTTCTGTTCAATATCTTTATCAATGATCTTGGTGCAGGGGTTAAACGCACCATTAGCAAGTTTGCTGATGATACCAAACTGGGAGGTGCTGTCGACTCTCTCAAAGGACAAGAGGCTTTGCAGAGGGATCTAGATAGATTGGAGCATTGGACTGTGATTAATGGGATGAAATTTAATAAGTCGAAATGCTGGCTTTTGCACCTGGACAGAGTAATGCTGGGCACAAGTATAAATTGGGAGAGGAGTGGCTGGAGAACAGCCCTGCAGAAAGGGATCTGGGGGTGCTGGTCGACAGCAGGCTCAACAGGATTCAGTAGTGTGCCCTGGCAGCCAGGAGAGCAAACCGCATCCTGGAGTGTATCAAACACAGCATAGCCAGCCAGCTAAAAGAGATTATCCCGCTGTATTCAGCACTCATGTGGCCTCACCTTGAGTACTGTGTGCAGTTCTGGGCCCCACAATTTAAGAAGGATGTTAAAGGTCCTTGAATGCTTCCAGAGGAGAACAGCAAAGCTGGTAAAAGGGCTGGAAGGCATGCCGTAAAGAATGACTGAGGACTCAGGGCTTCTCTAGTTTGGAGAGAAGGAGGCTGAGGGGCAATCTTATTGCTTTCTACAGCTTCCTGAGGAGGGGATGTGGAGGGGGAGGTGCTGATCTCTCTCCATGGGACCCAGTGTCAGGACACATGGGAATGGCTCTAAGCTGCGTCAAGGGAGGTTCAGACTGGACATTAGGAAGCATTTCTTTACCGAGAGGGTGGTCAAACACTGGACCAGGCTTCCTAGAGAGGTGGTCGATGCCCCAAGCCTGTCAGTGTTGAAGAGGCGTTTGGACAATGACCTTAACAACGTGCTTTAGCTTAGTCAGCCCTGAAGTGGTCAGGCAGCAGTTGGACTAGATGATCCTTGTAGGTCCCTTCCAACTAAAATAGTGTAGTCTATTCAATAAATAACTAAAACCAAAGAGATGAGGAGGTTGACTTACATTGTACATTTTTACATTTACATTTTTAGCTTATCTTTCTGCAAGATACCGACTAGTGTCAGTTGACTCTTCCTTAAAATCATTCTTGAAGCCTTAAACCGTTCAGAGGCTAAGCAGAGTTTCTTCAGTGAGATGCATGTGAATTAAGTGCTGTGCTGGTATAGAATGTTGTCCAGGTATTTCTATGCAGTTGTACGGCCAAACTCAAGAGTTAATGTATTTATCAGCAAACCGTTGTAAAAATGTGTTTGACTTAATGTTATAAAAGCTAAATTTGAAGTCACTTGTTGGTGCTTTGATATTCTGAAAAGAAAGGTAGTTAAAAATGCAAGAATTTTTACCAAGGTTGAAGTATGTTTTAGAGAGTTATTTTGTTAACTATAATAGTAATAATTCAGATATTTAGGAAAAAACCCCTCTGTTTTTGTGACCTTCTTATTCTAGGTATTTCAGCCACGGCCTGGAGATCATGAAAAGTATGGAGGTGACCCTGAGCAGCCCCACAAAATCCACGTTGTTACTAGAATAAAAAGTGTAGTTGGTCGCCCATATTGGGAAAAGAAGATAATACGTGATCTTGGACTGGATAAAGTATGATTGTTGTTCTTTATACTTACTGTGTACATCAGAAATGTAGAAACATAGGGTAGAATTAAGGTGGTGGGTTTTTTTTAAGTTTTGCAGTCACAAAACTTGGATTGCTTTACAGCTGCTATAAATGTAATTGAGAAATTGATGATGTATTTAAGAGCTGAGAGGAACATTAATGGCAAATGCCTTTTTAGTGGGAATTTGGAATATCACTGTATGGGCTCTGCATGCCTGAGGAGAACTTTACCTTGAGAATTCTGCTAAAATAATAAAAACAGATTGTAAATACTTTGAATTCAGTTTTCTGTGTGGGTCATATTACTCAGATATTGCAGGTAGGCAAATAAGACTCGTTTATTAATGAAAAGGCTACCAAATCCAAGACTCGAAGGGTTTATGTCAAAGATGTGTGTATCCAAATTTTTTAGGCCAGCTGTACGTTGTGCAAAGATTCATCTAGGCAGTGTTATATTACAGAAAAAAAATGTGTGCTTGATCAATTTAAGATCTAACTGAAGCAAGCAGTCTTACCCCTAAACTCCTGTATTTACATATATAGTATTTTTAACAGTTGGAAGAAATTTGAATATATTGATAATGTAATGGGAATAAATGAATTTGTCATTTTACTGGAATTGAATTTGATAAGTTTTGATTTCATATTTGATTTCGTATTTTTATGTATGTTCTTGATGCATGACATTTCTCTAAATCTTATATTTGCAAATGTGGTTTATATTTTTAGTGATAATGTGAAAAGTTCAGTGAACAGAGATTCGTGTTTTGGCAATGCCTTCGTAAAACCTATTCTATCCTTTATATAGGCCCATCGGCCAAGACTGCACAAAAATATCCCTTCTGTGAATTCCAGACTGAAAGTTATTAAGCATCTGATAAGGTTTGTTAACTATTTGTTTAATTTGGAACACTTAGTGTAACTCTCTTCTAGACATAGGACTTTACTAAGCAAACTCTTTTGCCTGTAGAATACAGCCACTGAGACTGCCTCACGGATTGCCAACAGAAGAGGAAATGTCAGACACCTTTCTTACGAGCAAGGGAGAGCTTGTCATTAAACGGCATCTGAAACCTGTGGAGCAGAAAGAAATTAAGTCATAAGGTGTGCTGGTTGGGTTTATATTTTATAAAATAAATAATTTAACTCCCGAGTTAAGAGTTTGTGTATGAAATGTAAGCTTAATTCTTACCCTGTCTGGTATGAGTGACAAGGATGACACTGATGCTTAAAGAAGGATTACAAATGTAACGTACATGTGTACAAATGTACAAATGTGTACAAATATAAAATTCAATGTTGGTAATGTTTGCCTGAAATATTAAATGAATGATAGGCTTTCTTTCCTCATGTTTTTACTTTGTGGCTAGATTACTGCGGTTTATGGCTAGCTATTAGGGAACTTTATAAATAAAGTCAGATAAGCAGAGAAGTAAGTAGAATAGATCTAACTATTGATGGTGAGGACATTTCCCAGTTAACAGTAAAGGTTTACAATGATGGTGCATGACTTCACCTTTACTGTGCAAGGGAAGGAACTGGAATTGAAAAGCCCTCTGTTTACCAGTTACTTGAGAATCGACTGGCTATCCACCGAGAGCGTCATTTGATTGAGGCAGGTGTTTGGGTGACTTACCTTGGTCATACAGATCTCGTGCTTGTTCCTTAACCATCAGTCTGCCATCTGGCCTCCTCTGTAGCTTAAAAAGTACCTGAACTTCCCATTTGGGAATAACAGAAGGAGTGATTCACATCTTGGTAGGTTGTATAATTTGCCTTTCAGGAAACATGCTATCTCACTTCATACATATTTCTTGATCCTAAATGTTTAATAATAATAGCCTAAGAGCTGCAGTCTATGTGAAAGTTGGTGCTTTTCCTGTTCTAAAATTGCAGACTTCAGAAATCTGGAGACCCTGAACCTCTTTGCAAGTTAGTAATCATGCGCAGCAAGCTTATTAAAATAACTCCTTTTACTGAAGGATCTTGAATAGTACTGTGTGCATATTTTTATTTACAATTTTAAGAATTGTGGCCAAAGTTAGGAAGCCGCTGCTGTATCAAATGATAAAGTAGTTTTCATTCCAGGGAGCATAAATTCCATTGTTGAACACACTGTGTACCTCTCCCACACTAGATATGCTGTAGAGGAGTTAATCTTAATGACTGTATGTTGTGAGAAGATCGGAGGGATAGTCACTGAAAATGAATGTTTATCCTTTTTGCATGTTTGCAGAGAAGAGTAAATACCAGTAGGAGTTCAAAGGAATAGACGTATCAGTAGAGGGACATAAAAGCTGGAGACACTGTGTGCAGGAAAAGGAAAAAGAAGGACAGGGTATTGTAGTGGCATTGACTGTAATGGCTCCTACGAACAGACCGAAGGCAGAAACGCAAAACTGAGCTGAAAAATGTCAATTTCTCAACAAGATACAGGCTGTAGTTGGACAGAGAAAATACTGGTGTCAGTCTGAAGTATATAGAATAGCAAGGAAAAAGTGAAGCAGCTAAATGAATGTTGTTCTTCTTCCCTCCCTCCTTCCTTCCAGCATCTGCATAGTGCCTTGTGCTGCAGTGTTACAACTGCAGTCTCTCTGTGGTGTTGACCATGTTCCCACAGGGAGGTACTTGGCACAAGTTGAAATTTCAGCCCTTTTGAAGGACGTGTGTAGTGCATCCAAGGTACAGGGCATGCTTAAAAGAGGAGGCTGAGGGGAGACCTTATTGCTCTATACAACTACCCGAAAGGAGGTTGTAGCGAGGTGGGGGTTGGTCTCTTCTCCCAAGTAACCAGCGATAGGACGAGAGGAAATGGCCTCAAGTTGCACCAGGGGAGGTTTAGACTGGACATTAGGGAAAACATCTTCACTGAAAGAGTGGTCAGGCCTTGGAACAGGCTGCCCAGGGAAGTGGTGGAGTCACCATCCCTGGAGGTATTTGAAAGACGTGTAGATGAGGCGCTTAGGGACATGGTTTAGTGGGCATGGTGGTGGTGGGTTGACGGTTGGACTTGATGATCTTAGAGGTCTTTTCCAACCTTAATGATTCTATGATTCTATAAGTACTAGGGCCCAGAAAATTAGGCAAATGGGTCTTGTTGCTGAGAAATAGCAAATGTAAGACTTGTACCAGGATTGGTGGCCCAGAGCACCAAAGCCAGGATTGCTCAGCCTTACCAAGCACGTTCAGGGTTTTTGTCCACGGCACTGCAACCTGGTGAATCTCCAACAGAGGGAGCGCTGCCAGTTCTGTCATATGTGTATGAATATGGATCTTCTATTCATTACACTATACAGATACTACAACCTTCAAAAGTACTGCAATGTAAACCGGAAAGAATGTGTTAATGAACAAGCTTGCTTGGTACTGTGCACAACTTAAAAAGTGTGCGATAAAGTACCTAAGTTAGAGCAGAGCTAATAACTGCTTCCTGAGTACAGAAAAGGGAAAATGCTTTAGGTAGTACCTGTTATTTCTGGGTAAGATTTAGCTACAAGATATGTTTACAGCTGTCTTTAATTGACAAGCTGGCAGTTTTCATGAAAAAGGAAGTTGTGTTTTCGTAAAATTTTTAATATATGTGTAGGTTTGGGTGTTTCTAAAATGGTATTTCCTCCTAGTCAATCTGTTATCCCAAGCCTTCTCTGGATAAGCATACGTTCTCTAAAGATTTGCTCTCAGGTCTAAAACCTGAACCAACAGGGTGCACAAACACAGTGTGTCCCCACATCCTTTCATTAATGGAGCATTGTAAATGCTTCGTGTAAATCTTCATGAAGCACAGGTAGGAGATACTGCCTTTTTGTGCAGGGAACAAACAGGCTGACTTAAGATGATGGCAAAATTCGAGTTGGGAGGTACCTCGCAGGTCTCTAGTCCAACCTCCTGCTCAACGCAGGGCCAGCGCTGAGGTCAGACCAGGTTGCTCAGGACTTTGTCCAGTCGGGTCTTGAAAACCTTGTCTGAGGACAGGGACAGCTCAGCCTTTCTGGGCAGCCTGCTCTGCTGCCTGGCTGTCCTCGTGGGGAAAAGGTTATATGCAGAATACAGTCTTGTATTCAGTCCGAACCTCTCTTCTTTCAGCTTATGCCTATTGTCGCTTCTCTTCCCTTGCACTACTGTGAGGAGCCAGCCAATTATCCCTCACAGGTAGGTACTGTGGGACTGCTGTTAGGTCCACCTGAAGCTGTCCCTTCTCATGGGGCAAGTGCTCCAGCCCCAACCACCTTGGTGGCTCTCTGCTGACCTCGCTCTACTTAATTGTTCTTTCTTGTGTCAGGGGGCTCCAAACTGGACACTACTCTAGATGTGGTCTAACGAGTGCTTAATAGAGGCATGTAATCCCTTCCCTCGGTCAAGCTGTGCTTCTGTTCATACAGCCCAGGGTTCCCCTAGCTGCCTTTGCTGCTTGGGCACACAGCTGCCTCATGTTGAGCTTGCTTCTTGGGTAGGAACTGTTTGCCATGTCTACTTGCTGTAGCATTTAAAGTATATTCAGACTTTGGTGCAATATGTGGTAGCAATGTAGAAATGTACTGTTTTAAGAATAAATTTGTATTTCTATGCTATTGCTCTGTTGCAGGTTCATTTACTGTTTCAGTTTTGGTAATTAATACTGTAATGTGAGTAGATCAATACAATTCTAATAATAGCATCAGGATACTTTTAATCACAAGTACAGAATACTAGCTATAAAAAATGCACCATATTTAAAACAATCAACCAACCAACTCCACCATGCTCTTTGTTATTTCCCCTTTAGCCCCTAGAGATAAGCTTGAGGGTTCTTTTTAACCACTCTAAACCACCTACTTTTCTCCCCTGTGTCTTGAAATGGCTGAATGAATCCAACAACTCTGAAGCTAAGGCTCCCCAAAAGCTTTACTATGTGATTGATTAAAAGGATCTGTTTATTGTGCATGAACTTGCATCAGATTTTATAAACTACATGCCATTTTAAAAACATGATGGAATGTGCATATTCTTACTCCAGACCCTGCATTGAAGCTAATATATAGCTTCAATAGAAGTATTCATTACAGCAGCTTGAGTTTTACAGATTGTTTGCAACTGTAAAGGCTAAAATGAAGTAGTATCAAGAGCGGAAAAAAGTTAAGGATAGCTTAGTGTTTTCCCTCCTGTCACAAGAAACAGCCACTTTGGGGTCACAATTATTCTGAAAGGATATGATATTCTGGTACATTAAACATACACAATATTTATTGCAAATATTCAGTTCCAAAATTGCAAATTGTTAACAGCCAATTTTGTACTGCTGTTAGACACATGTATTGATAGTTAAAATCTAAGGCAGTTAAAATCCTGTTAAGCAGTGTTATGACTTTTTTGCAGCGTTAATCTGCTGCTTGAGAAACTACAAGCACAGGTGAAAACTCTGCTTGAATATTCTCGTGAAGTGAGATGAAAAATAAATGGCAAAAGATAGGTTACAGTTTGGATTATTAGCAGTGTTATCTTTTAAAATTATTTTTGTAGCCTCAGCTGAAAGAAAACATTGAAAGCTTGCACTTGTTTCTGGCTTCATTGCTCTCCTCCATTCTTAGTGTTTCTGGGGCAGAAATCTAGGATTTTTTTAATTAGAAGCAAAACGTGCCAGCAGTGACTCAAATCTAATCATCACCCAGATATCTCAGTATCCATTTCTTTTATAAAACTTGGCTCTTGCAACCACATCATTGGCATAGTCATTGTGCGTTGTGCCAATATCCATTCTGTCGTAGGTCTGGACGTTTTTAGCTCCCGCATTATAGGCTGAAATCCCACCTGAAATGAGAGTAAAAGAAACAAATAAACAGAGGTGATACTTTGTCAGTAAATAAGCAAACAAACAAAAATCACAACTTAAATGTGTTGCTTTAGTTTGCAGCTCTCTTTTCACCAGTATTGTATTACCATTTCCACCTATTTTGCCACTGAGGTGTTCCTTTTGTGTTTTAACTTTCTGAAGAAATCGTAATTTCTTCCTTTACATCCAGACTTGGTGATCATTGTCCCCTTGCTGTATTTTGCTAATGTAACATCTTCAGTTGTATGACTGCTTCCTTTTGTGCATATTCCTTCATGTCTACCCACTTTAATTACCTCAGACGTATTTGTATTGTAGTTGGAATAAAGGGATCCAACCATGATGGCTTCAACTGTAATCAGTGCTCAAGAATATAACCAGGTTTCCTTCAGAGAGGACCATACATTTTCAAAATTAATGCGTTCCTTCTTTGGAGTTGCCAGGATAGTTGCTTTTTGTGGGTGGGTATAGAAACGCAAAACAAATTAAATGGAGAGAGGTGGGGAAAAACCCACCCTTACTCCTTGCAACTGAAAAATATCATGACATATGCCAAGTTTTCCAAAAGCCATCTTACTCTTCTATTCCTTTTAGTGAGTATTGTGGAATACTGTTCCACACCTCAATAAAATGAACAGGGGGACTGGGATGTGTTTAGTTTTCTGAAGTGCTCGGTTTTACAGCGTTATCGTGCTTGACTTTTATTACGCGAAGCGTTTGAAAGCTGACATTTTAAAGCTGACAGAACTCTACCTTTGAGCTGCTGTTCCTTTGTCCATGTTGGGAACTTCTTCTGGATTTCCCTTATCATCCCACATAAAATCTCTGTGCCTTGTGCTAAGTGCTCTTCACTGTCCCATGACCCGACAATCTTATGGTACCGTTTGTCAACCTGAAAGTGAGACAGCAATATCAGCACACCAGAAACCCCACTATTTATCCAGATCTCTTCATTACTTACAGGCTGCTTGTATTCATTTTGATCTTTAATCTCATGGTTTACCTTTTTTGCAATTGTATAGAGAGGCAGCAAACTTAGCTCAAGGCACAGGCGAAGCCAGCAAATGTGTGAATAGCAGACTATCGGAGCACTGAAGGGGAATGCCTGCCCCACCTCCTTGTCTGTCAGAGCCTTAAAAAACCAATGCAGCTGCTGCTGTAAAGGTGACAGGGTGCAGAAAGCGGGCTTACTGCTGCTTAAGCTTTTCCAGCTGCAAGGTGACTGCTCCTCTCCTCCCCTGTTTCCTCTAGGGACCTCCCCTCGATCTGTGCCCCAGTTCTGCCCTTCTCCTTCTCCTTCCCCTTCTCCTTCTCCTCTTCTTCTCCACCTCTTATCCATTGGATAGTAAAGCACAAGTCTGAGGGGGCTGGGGCTGTTACAAAAGCAGATCCCGATGCGTGCAGCAAATGTTTAGGGATTGTATGGATAAACGTACAACTTGCCAAAAAAGTGAGGGGTGATGTAGGCATGAATAATGAAGCAAGATCCCCCACTAGCCAAGCCCCTGTGGTACATAAAGGGTAATTAACCCGACTATATGTAGCTGCAGCCTACAGGCCTCCATGCTTAGTTAAAAAAAAAGCTTTTTGTAACAAGATTTATTATCTGAAGTATGAAATAGGAACAATTAATCTCTTCATTCCCAAGAGAGTGCTGGGAAGCAAGCAGTGGTTTCATGGTGCAAACGCAGTCTGCTCATGCCCTGACACTCACCAGGTCCTTTGCTGGTGCCAGGAGCTGACAGCCAGGTCAGTGTTGGCTTTATTTTGGCCAAAGAGTTGTCTGAAAAGGCCTACGGGGTTGCGTTTCAACAGGGGCCCTGCTGCTTTTCTGACTTTCTGCTCCAAAAGAAGGATGAGGTTTGTGTTTTTGAGAAGGTTGACCTTACCTGCATTAAACCAAATGCATTTCCGTGGTCACCCCAGCCATCCTTCAGCACTGTCCCAGCGTGTGACTCTCGAGAGATAATACCAGCAATCACAGCTGGGTCAACACACTTGCTGTTGCCAACTTTTGTAATCTTGGCTTGGTATTTCTCCATGTTCTTCAAATCTCTTTCTGCAATCTTCTCTGAGGCAGGAACTCCTACAACACAATGTGCATGACTTTTCCTTTCGTTTTTAAAATCAGAAACAAGTTGTTCTAACAGTCATTATGACTGAGCTGACATTTTGAATCCTTCTGAATCTATTTAGAGAGAAGCAATGATAGAATTGACCAATTTTGCTGAAGGGTAAGTGCCCTAGAAATCAATACACAGATGATATAAAAGATTTTTTCAAATACAGAGGGCAGTTCTCTAGTGTGCAGACTAAAAGGTGGATCTTCTTGTTTTAAATCTAAGCCTTTGGGTGGATTAGTCCCAGATTTAAGTCCTTTTAGTTTAGGACTATAATGGGAAAATGTTCAGAAACTTAGGTCATGAGGGAAACCCTCTTAAGGGAGAGAGAAAAGCAGGCCCGATGGCAGGGGTTGGATGCACCCAGCAGACCTTGCATTTTCTCTGTGGTGGTCTTGAATATTCCATAGAACATCTCAAAGGCAACTCTATTCCCAACATAAACTTATGTGCCCACGTAGGATCTTTGTTGGCTGTGGAAAAATCTACTCGTGTGGCAATGACTGACAGCCAAAGACCGGGATCCGTAATAGGCATGAGCTTGTGCGTGGATGTAAGGGGACATGAACAACTGAATTAGTGCCTACCTGCATAGCTCAGACCTTCTGGTTTTGCGGTTGCCTCCGAAGCTCCAGTTGTGTCAACATTCAGTATATTCCCATAACGCTCCAAACAGCCTAAGAGCAGTATTTACAACCAAACATCAGGCCAGCGCAGTGTGTGACGCATGCCGTTAAAAAGTTTTTAGATCTATGACTGAAACCCATGGCATCATTTTGATACTAGCGCAGGCATTTGCGCTAGTAGATGCGGTCACGGTATAGTATGCTCTGGAAAGGATTACCTTTCGGTCATGATAGCATAAAGCCACAGTGTAGCTTATGAGGTGAACTGGTGCTTTATGCACAATTCATCTCCTCAAATTTTAGCTTGCCTGAAACTTAGCTGTCCAGTCTAAGCTTGTGACTTGGGCTGCCCGCATAGCCAATGGAAAAAGGCACCTCCAAAAAGCGATTTTTTCTATTCCAAAATTAAAAAAATCTATGGAGTCAAAAGAAATCCTACACTACTTACTGGCTCCAGCTTGCTTTTCCATAGCTACCATCAACAGGAAAAATCGAAGAGAAACATCCTTCAATTACATCCATTACAATTTATCTGACTTGCAGTTTGTTTGACTTGCAATTTATCTGCATTTATCTGTTGCCTAAATACGCCGTTGCAGAAGGGAAAACACGCAAAGAGCAACTGAGAGGAATAATGCTAACCCAAGCCCAGCAGTTAATGGAAAACAGACTTTGGTACAGTGAATTATTTACAAGAATTTTAGACAAACATCACAGACCTGACATGTTTGCTGCAGGATGTCTCCCCACCTTCTCGCCGCACGTCCTAGGAACAAACGGGCTTTTTATCTGCTGGCGACGTTTTGGAGCAGCTGACTCAGTGCACTTCCCACACGCTGCTGGTATTACGGGAAACAGGAACGCCTAACAACTTCTTGTGCATACACCCAAACACAACAGGATTTCTGCTCTACAGCACGAATACAATTACGACTTTAAAAATGAAACACCTTTTAATTTAATTTTAAACCCCGTTGCTAATAGTTTGGAACTAGGAGGAGCCTCGTCTGAAAACAACTGCCCCCCTTCAGCTGTTGAAAGCAATAATGTGCTGACAATGGGAAAACGGGAACCTGCGCTTTTGGATGTAATAAAGTTTTTGCAGGCAAAGACCCAGCCACAATAACATGACACAGAGCTGCAACCACTGAGAATTTGGATATGCAGAGACTATGCCAGGTCCCTCTTGTACAGTGACAACAAAGGTGGAGGCACAAACCCAAATTCGCAGGTGGCGTGGGTCAAAGCCACTGTAGCTGTTCAGCAGTAAGGAAAAAAGCCACTGGATGGCAGACCTCCCCATCACTGCTAATCCATCCTGACATGCATCTCCCCCACGGTAAATTTTGTGAGGGTGAAATGTTGTTTCACTCTTTCGTCAGCTCTTTCACATTTTAAGCCGGGGAATTCATCCTGTGTCATAGCATTGAAAGATTCAATTCTGTAAATTTTTCCTGTACATGCCTCACATCGAGAACCGGCTGCAAAAAGTCACAGCAGCCTGTGCACGGAGCTCTTCACATTCACTATCACGAGTGGGTTTAAAGGTTGAAACACAGGGAAGTACCTCTGTCAGGAAGGAAAACAAAACAGATATGGCTCATACAGGAGTGACATAAAAAGATATTGAAAATTCAAAACACCACTGAAGATGATTCACAAACCAGTAATTTCCAAACGGCCTGTGCTCCCTTCTTGCTTGGGGAGAATCATAAGGGATGTACTAGTCTGCTTCTTCTACATCACAGTAATTGAGGCAGGCAGGTAGATCCTCCCGTGTTTTCTGGAGCCCTATCTAGAAATTATTGTTTAATCATATATGCGTGCATGGAGCCCCACATGTCCTGGGAAGTGTTTTCCTCAACAAACCTGTATTCAGACTGCTGGGGGAGAATGGCATGTCCACATGAGGGTTCATCATAACAACAGCCCTGTCTGTCATCTGTGTGATGTCGAGCAGGCTGCAGCTTGCAGGCTCCAGTGAGAGCTCGGAGCTGCTGCAGGCTCGGAGCTGCTGCAGGGATGGAGAACCGGTTACGGCTTTTGCCAGTGCTCTTTGCAGCATCTCTCGCTTGTCCCATTGCTCGCTTGTCACCGAGTATGTAAGCCACACCGCATTGCGATTTCTCCTGCTATGTCAGGGGTACAAGCGGCGGCTTTGGGCAGCCTCAAAAGTGCCCCAAATCGTGGTTTATCTCCTGGATTCCCCTTGCACTTGCTGTTAGTTGCGGCAATCGGCAACCTCCAGTTCAGATCCAGCTCATCCTAGTTTTACTTCATCTCTCAGAAATGCCACAAAAAGCCTGTCAGAGTGTGGTTCTGCCATGAAACTCGGACGCTCGTGTTGACCTCACCGCGGAGTGCCGCGAGCCAGCGCCGTGTGCTGCGGGTTGCCCCACCGCGCTGCAGCGCTGGGGGCCGGTGCTTCTTCCCTCCCCAGAAACCGCTGCTGATTTCAGTCCGTGTTTCTGTGCAACTGCACCGAGGGCAAGGGCATAATCTGAAGGTAGGGGGAATGTACACGTACATGACTGAAGGAATAATTTGACTTGTGGATCGTCCGTCAGGAGGGGAAAAGCCTGAAAGAAAGCGTAGGAAGAGGGGGAAGAGAGCCAGTCAGTTAAATCTGGTTTCCACCAGTGAAAGACTTATCAAGACAGAAACGTACTTATAAACTGAAAATGTTTGGTGTAAGAACTGAGATAACAGCTGTGGAGGCAGGCCCTGGCATTTTTTAGAAGCAGATTATGTATTAATTGAAAGGGATTCAGAGAGTCATTTCTCATGGGGAGTGAGTGTTGGCTCGTCCGCAAAAGCTTCACCTGAAGAACACCCGTGTTAAGCTCCTGAGAGGGCAGGCGATAGCACACAGCCTGGGACAGGGCGGCTTGGAAATGTTTTCAATTAGAGGCAAAGCAATGACTAGCGTGCTTTTTTTTAACATCGTGCTGCAGAAATGAACGAAACTTCATCTATTTTTAAATAGTATTTAACTATTTTCTATTTAACCGCTTTTCAACTCTATTTAGATGGTTTTTAACTTAGGAGCGTGACTTGACTTGTTTCTACTGGATTTACTTTTGCTTTTGTTGTCCCTAGGTGTGTCCTGTCCGGCTTTGCAGCATTTTTGATGGCTAGAGAAACAATGAAATAGTGACCCTTCCTGAGTCAGAAGGTGGAAGTTGGAAGTTGGGTAACCCTGCTGGGAAATGTTTAAGCAATGCGTGACAGCAGTTGTGATTTATGTTACTTTTAGCTCCTGTTTATCTTCAGTAACTAGTAGTAAGGACCTCTTTCCTTAAAATAAAACAAGTCTCTTTTCCATTCTAGTAAGCCAGTGGTTGAGAGTTTTGGCATACATTTAATCGAAGTTCTCTCCGTAAAGGAGGGAGACCCAAGGAGGTCAAACAGGACCTGTCTGATACAAAACAATGATTAAGGCAGCATAAAGCAAATTAAGAATGTGCTTTTAGGCCCTTCCTGCATTTCACAAAGAATCACACAAGCCCAATTGTAATAAAAATTTTGAGTGGATTATCCTTCACATGTTTTACTACTGCAGACTTGTTTTAGAAGCACCCATGGCTTCTTGGTGTTGGATGTGGGATTAAATTGGCTCTTTTCTTTTTCCTATGTAATTTTTAGATAGTGTAGTCCCATCAGTAAACTATACCATTCATGATACATGATTCTCAACTACTGCTCTGGTAATTTTTTTTTTTTCTGTAGTAACAGTTCATATTTAAGAAATTAACTTAAGACACCAGTATAGCCAAGCTCGGTTTTATAATTTAGCATTTAAGCAATCAAAAAGACGTTAAGCCTGATAGTGCAGATCCAACAGAGTACGGAAAGAAGGAAAGCAGTAGCTGTGGCTGTTACAGGGAACAAGTTGCACCATGTGTTTCAAAACCGTGCTGGTTTTATTTATTGGTTTGGTTTCAAAACTCCCCAGTAGTTTTCAGAAGTTCTACTTGTCCCGTCAGCAGACGTAAAGCCCCATGCTGGCGAGTGCAAACAGGACTGAGACGTGAAGCTTACAGAAATTGCACACATTTCAGTGTCTTTTGTACTAAGTTCCTTTTTTTAAGCCTTGGGTCTTGCAAAGCTGAGCTGAGGCTTTAGATAAATTCTGAAGTATCTTGGAAGTCTTGCTCATGGCCTCACCTAAGTGCAGCAAAGGCCATTCTCGTTGTAAGGTAAATACTAAAGAGCGATACTTAAATGCTTTGTATTCATTGCTGATTAAAAATGAAAGCTGAAAATGGGAAACTACATGTATTTTTGCATTTATGTGTACCTGCTCTATTCTGTCCACATGGACGTGGCAAACCTGTTTACTTCTTTCCCTTTCCTGGCTGTCTATTATGTAGCTGTAGACACATATACCTTCCTTAGCATGTTTTTTCTTGTCTAAGCCACCCCAGTTCTGCAGTCTTTTCAGGCCGCGTTCTCTTCACTTCTGATCATGGTTGTTGCTGCGGTTTTGAGGTTCTCCAGCTGGTCCCCATCTTCGCTGAGCTGTAGCTACCCAGACCAAACACGGTCCTTGGCTGAGGCCGTTCTGGTGGTGATTAGCACGAAGGCTTCACGTGTCTTGAAGAGGATAACGCTATGTTGTGCCCCCCCCAGCGTGGCGCTTGCCTTCGTACCACAGCAGGACACTTCTGCCCTCCCCACTCCCCGTCTCCCACCCCGCTGCCTTGCTCTGGCCCTGGGTTTGGGATGCTGGCGGTGTCAGTCCCCAGGCCGGAGGGCAGGAGATGGTGGATGTTGGAGACTAAATCCCCTCTCTATCTGTGGGAGGCAAATCCTGGTGTGCGGAGCGCAGCCCACCTCAGTGGCGTGGATGGGGAGAAGGTGAAGTTGCCACCCACCCACGTGGAGGGATGTCTGCAGCGAACCTCTGCTGTGAGGTTTGCAGCCATCTCCGCGTGTATGTAAGGAGGACCCTGTGAAGATACACATTAAGCCAGTTACATCTTTGCTAAGGCAAATTACAAAGCTTTGGTGTTTTTTTTCTGAATAAGAAACAAAAAGGCAGGATTTTTTTGACACATATTTATTACATGACTACAGGAAAACTCTGCTACATCAACTGCCAGGAGGTAGAAAATACTGAGGTGCTCAGGTTTAACTGTATTTAAATGCACAACGGCCCTTACCTCACCTGACATTGGCTGTATGGGCTCGGTGGGAGTTAGTATGGAGGTTGGCAGTACGAAGACCTTGGCTTCAGATGTGCTACTGAGCAACTGATACAAGGTAAGACAAGAGACAGTAGCTTTAATACGTGTATGTTGAACACAAGTAATTTCGTAGCAGCTCTGGCTGAAGTGTCGGCAAGGTGCCTTCCAGCTAATGGAGCCCGTGGGTTGGTGAGCCCTGGGACAGGGACATCCCTCTGTGCTGGTCCCGGGAACTAGTGGTGTGAGGCATCTGCAGAAGTGATTGATCAGTGTCAATCATCTGCAGGAGTAATGGGTTAATCTAAGAGTTGAATAGTGATCATCATTTGTTACCTCTGGGTGATTTGTGTAGCCTGCATTTAAAAAAACCAAGTGAATCACCTGGGTTTCCAAGGGTATGCTGTCACACAGCCACTTCTCCAGGGTGGCAACAAGGCAGACACCTCCCAGCCTACCTTCCCGTGCAAACTCCTCGCAGCACCACGTGGGCTGTGGTGACGATGCCAAGCAGGCTCTTCCCAAGTCAAGGTGACTTGCTAGGGCAAGTACGTAGTTACAAGATAGGTTCAAGAGCAAGCCAGGAAGGAAAGTCAGCGAGGCAAAATCAGGATCAGTTGGTTACAAAGTCAGGTGCGGGCAGACTTCCAGTGCAGCTGAGGTGAGGAGCCAGGGCAAGGCTGTGAGCTTAAATGCAGCTCCTGAACCCAGCAGGCAGAAGGTGCGTGGGAGGGGAGAACAGATGAGGCTCCTCATAGTGTGGTATCAGAGCTGACCTTCAATGCCGGCAGCCAGACCCTGGGCAGAGAGGGGGAAGAGGCTGCAGAGCCCATCATTGCGGTCAGGTCCCAGACAGCGTGGTCACCCCAAAGCTGACTCTTCTCCAGGCTGAGCGGACCCAGCTCCCTCAGCGTCAATTTGTGTGTTCTGTGCTCCAGCCCTTGACCAGCTCGGTGGCCTCTGCTGGGTTCACTCCAGCCTGTCAGTGTCCCTCCTGTATCAGGGAGCCCCAAACCGGGTACAGTGCTCCAGGTGTGGTCTCACAAGCACGAAAGAGAGGGAAATGATCGCTCCCCTCCCTGCTAGCTAGGATTTTGCTAATGCAGCTCAGTGATAAAGTGCTTTTAGTCTACATCTCTGCAAGGGCCCATGGTGTCCACCAGGACCCCCAGGTCCCTTTTTGCACAGCTTGCTTTCGAGACAGTTGGCCTCAGCCCATACCGGTGCATGGAGTTATTCTGTCCCAGGTGCAGGGCTCTGCCTTTGTCTTAATTGATCGTCATGGGGTTGCCGTCAGCCCATTTCTCCAGCCTCTCCAGGACCCCTCATTTGGTATCAGGTATGAACTCACTGGGAGCACTCTCTGTCCCTAGTCCGAATTGCTGCTGAAGACATGAAGCCATCCTGGCTGCAGGATCCATCCCCGGAGGATGCCACTAGCAACTGGCCACCAGCTGGACCCTGTGACACTGACGACCGCGCTTTGAGCTTGGCAACTTTCTAGCCAATGTTCTATCTGCCTATCCAGTCCGTGTCTCACCGGTCTGGCTATAAGGATACTATGGCAGGCTGGGGCAAAGGCCTTGCTAGGTCAAGGTATACCATATCCACTCTTCTCCCCTTTTCCATAAAGCCGGTCACCTCATTGCAGGAGGCAAACAGGTTGGCCAGGCACTATTTACCCTGTTTAAATCCATGCTGGATGTTTGCAGCATGGTCTCTAATTGCTCCTGGGAGGATGCGTGTCATAACTCTGTGCACTGTTAATGGCTTTGGATTGCATTTTCCTATCCATTTAAGACGCTTGCAGCCAGTGGTTTTTCTAATTATTTTGACGTACAGTTATTCCCAGTCCCAGAAAGGCTGGGAATGGAAGAATAAAGGAAGTTCCCTCAGCATGCAAGTGGATGCTGGTGGGAAAGGCACAGCTTGCACTGCTTGCTGCCGGACCAAACCCAACTCTTCCTTTGGCCCTCGGGAATGAGTGTCACTGAGCCCTGCAGGCATCTACCCTTCTCCTTTCATGGCCTTTCCACCCTCCCACCCCCAAAAGAGTTCCATTCCAGGTCTAGAAGGAATAGGAGCACCAAAATATGCTGACCTCAAAGACTGCTGTTTTCCCGAGTGTCACTCTTCTACAAGCAGCAGAGGGGGAAAATAATTTTATGACACGCAAATATGTATTTCATCCTGTTCCCTTCTCAGTTTCTCTATCTGCCTAAAATTAACATCGTACTTATCCAAACTTTGCTAACACACATGATGATATGAGTACACTGGAGTCCTGCTTTCTTTGCTAATAACACTTTTATTCGATTTCTGTTTGCTTATTTCTGTATGACTGAAAAACATCCATCTCTATTCTATGCCTTTATATGAAAAATTAGCGTTCAGAAAAAAATTACTACTCCACAGCGCAAGGTAAATATCAAGCAGCTTTGAGAAAATAAATCATTAAGCTAATACCCAAAGAAGTATTTTGCCTTTTGATTTCTTAAGAGGATGACAGATTTTGGCAGAAATGTGTTTTAAGATCTGGAAGGCAGCAAATTATCAATAACAAAACAAGATAGTCCTTATAACTCAGAGAAATATGTAGATAGCAGAAAAAAATTTGAGATTTTGGTAATGTTCCCTTTGTAAAATCCAAACCATATTGCTTGTAAAGAAACTACATGACCGGTGTCTTACTGATTATTGTTTTAAAGATTGAGGGCTTTAGTCTGCACATTCTTATTCATGTAAATCATTCCTGTACATTTGCATCTGCATGGGTTTGCAGGGTACAGCTGCTCTGTGTCTTGGCTTCCTCAGGTGTGTCGTGCAGGTGATGGTAAGGAAGTTACTCAGTAGAGATTCCCCGAGTCTAGTATCCGTGTTTCTTGTAATACTGGGCTCGTGCAACCACATCGTTGGAGTAGTCATTGTGCGTGGTGCCAATGTCCATTCTGTCATAGCTTCGGACGTTCTTAGAACCAGCGTTGTAGGCAGAAATCCCACCTGAAATGAAACACCAAAAGAAGTCATACAGACTTTAAAAAAATAGGGAAAATTCCAGCCTGGTATGTTCTGCTTTTACTGGTTTTGAAAGCTTTCACTTATGGGGACTTCAGAAGCGGAGTAGGTGGCGTTATCGGAGCTTCCCTGACTTAAGCAGGGCTCTGCAAACAGCTTACAGTTATTCCTGAATCCACCAAAACATCGAAAGATACCTGAGGTTTTGTGTTCACAAATATTTGCAGCTTCATGAACTTGCACCATTTACTTGGCCCAGCACAAGCTCTTCATTTACACTGGGTTTGTTAATATCATATCATATCATATCATATCATATCATATCATATCATATCATATCATATCCAACATCCTTGTAACTTCTCACTCATCCTTGAAAATTATTCCTCTTAAAAGAGAGTTAAAACACACTCATACATTGCGTTATCTTTGTCTCGCAGCTGTCTATATGCTACTCCGTATGCCGTGTTGAAAAGCAGAGGTATCTGAGGCGGCTGTGAAACGAGCCCGCCGTGGCACCCCAGCAGCCCAAGGGGGCTGCGGGGTGCAGCCTGCTTTGAAGCAGGCAGCTTTTCCACGTTGCACAACACAGTTTTGCAATCCCCTGAGAGCAAACACCTCGTCTCCCTTGTCGACAGAGATACGGAGTGAACTGCGGGCCCCATTCAGGTAAGCCATGGAGCTCTTTGTTTACCTGAATAGCTGTAGGAGACTCCTCATGGTCAGATAAAGAAAGCTCAGCTTTTATACAGACTAGATTTCAGGTGTATAAATATTTGCCACACAGTGCTGGAAACTCGGCGAGGCTGCCATGCTAAGGAAGGGCAGAAACTACACAGAATTGACAAAGCTTGTGAAATAAAAAAAGGGGCGAAAAGCTAAGCGACAGACTATTAAAAACATGGTTATTGAGGGACACGGGAACTAATTCAGTATGTTCTCGTCCTAAAGTTTTTCTTCTCTCCTGGACAAAACCTGTGGCCAGTATCTTACCTTTCAGCTGTTGATCCTTTGTCCAGCGTGGGAAGTTCCTCTGTATTGTCTTTATCATCGCGATCAGTATGTTAGTGCCCTGGGTAAGATGGGCTTCGCTGTTCCATCGTCCCACAGGTGTGTGTCCTGATTTTTTGTCAACCTAGAAATATCAAAACAAGAAGAAGAAGTCATTTCCCTGCTGTAATGGATGATATGTTTAGGAGGCTTACTTTTATTTATATGCTCTTTGTTTATCAGGTTTTAATGGAGTATCAGCAAATACCTGCATTAAACCAAATCCATTTCCATTGTCGCCCCAGCCATTCCTCAGTATTTTGCCAGCATGAGATTCCCGGGAGATGATGCCAGCGATCAGGGCTGGTTCGATGCACAGTTTTTCACCAACTTTCTTAATGAGTGTTTTATATTGATCCATAGCTCTTAGGTCCCGTTCAGCGATCTTTTCTGAAGCTCTAACTCCTGTAATTAAAAGCAAAAGTAAAGATATTCGCGTAATAACTTTTAAAACTCAGAATTGTCTCTCACCTCTCTCCTTCTGATACAGACAGAATTACATCAAAATTTTATTGCCTCACCTCTGGAAAGAGACGGATGGTCACCTACAGGGATATTATGCAGGCTCAGCAGCTAGTGTGTGTTCAGCACTTTGGAAACGTGAAGGATTTGGGATTATTGTGCCACGGAGAAATGGAGTCATCTGGCAGAAGAGGGATACTCACCGCAGTAGGATAAACCCTCTGGCTTTGCAGTTTTGCACGAAGCCCCAGGGGTTTTAATTCTGTTTACACTGCCGTAGCAATCCGTGCGTCCCTGGGAGGCACCTGCAGAGGCGATACGGAAAGGCTCAAGCAGTAAAAACCTTTTGTGGCTGCAAGTAAAACCGAAGGGGAGGCTGCACCCCGGAGAGGACGGGTTGCGGGGTGCGGGAGCTGCATAGGGCTGCCTCTGTCGCTCTTTGTGATGGAAAGGAGGCGAGGTCCTGCCCTGCGCCCTGCACCCTGAGCCCACCCGTCCCTCGGAGGCCACCCCTTCTTCTGCAAGACTCGCAAGGGGACCCGAGCACTCTCTTCTCCAACAGAGTCCGGTGGCAACCAAGATTTTGGGGAGGGGGGTGAGGAGGTGCATCAATGTCTCCTGCTTCCCGGCTGTGGGGTGTGCGTCCCCGGCTGCTTGGGGCGAGGCGGCGAGGGACGCCAGACTTACCCAGGAGGGCAGCAAGGCCCAGCAGCACGAGCATCGGGTACATGGCCTGGTTCTTCCTGAGCACGCAGAACAGCCTGAAAATCAATCAGTCAGCATTGGCATGCATGAAGACATGAATATATCTCACTGCTTGCTGAATAAACACAAAGAAACTCTTTCTGAGCTGATGGGGTATTTCTCTTGGTTGGGTAGGCAAAGTGATACACAAATGGAGTCAAGTCTCTTTTTAGAAGAGACCCCAATGGCAGCTCTCCTGCTCTGGCACAAACCAGGCTGCAGCCGTTCGCAAGAGACTTGTAACCTCTCACTTCTTCTGGTGTTTCAAGCCCACGTCTTCTACGACACCTTGGTAACTTCCTCCAAATTTCAAACCCCAGTATTTAATTCAGAAAAAATAAAATTAGTAACATTCAGTGCCCTGTGCTGCTGCACTCCCACCAGGAACGTCCTTATTCCCTACCCATATTCTGTATACAAACCACCTTCACCACAGCTGGACAGCTTTGCCTGAATCTCCTGAGACTTTCTTTATACTCAGAAATTGGCACTTTCAAGATGCAAGCTGCCTAAATCATTGTGGCTATCTCCTTTAGGGTGAGTTGTACTCTGGGAGCACCCATTTCCCCTCACTGGCTGTGAGGTGATCCTAGGGAGATAGGCTCACATATGGATGACAGCCACCTAAATTTAGGTAAACTAAATCCAGAACTACAGGACAAATCTCGATATCCTTGTTCAAGCAGAAATCTCACGCAGCAGAAAGCTGGAGCCCCCGGGCCGCCCAGGAGATGGTGTTGCTGAAGGGAATGAGAAAAGCTCCCGCCCTGAGCGGTGGTATCTCACCTACTTATCCGCAGCTCAGCTTCTGGCACAGGACTGAAGTTTGAGGAAGTTTAATATATAGGGAAGGCTACCTACCTTTTGGTGGTAATCTGACACTATGATGAAATGTATTAGGCTGTGGTTTTGTGAGGCTTAACAGCATTTTTTTCTCATGTAAACAGATCCTGTTGCACTGTAGACATTGGCGTTGTGGCAAGTATGTTCTTGGGAGTGGCATTTCCCAGATTTCCAAAGGGAAAAAAAACCACCCGATCTTTCTCTGGGCATCTCTCCATCTCCATCTTGTATTTCACACCCTATTCCTGGAGGGAGCCGTGGTGAGGGCCAAGCTAAAGACCCAGCATCCAGCTGCTCTGCAGGTGTTTGCCCTAGTCCCATCCCAGCATCCCGGGCTGTGTCCCTACTGCTCAAGAAAAGAGAGCTGGGACTGACCCTCGGCTACATGGCATGGAGGGGCATGCAGACCTACTGCCTGGGCTAGCACTCTCCTGAGAGACTGGCTGTGTCCACGCAGGTGGCCCATCTCCTGCCTGGGGGGTTGCTCCTGTGACAGCATGCTCTGCCGACATTGCTTGTCAACAGAAAAAAATAATGGCACCTTGTCATTTCACTTTTTTTTTTCCAAAATAGCTTTTAACAAGTCCAACGTGTCTCTGAAATTACTCAGACAACCCTTTGCCTCAATATTTGTCTCTGCTCTGAGGGGGAGAGGTTTCTGGCATACACCTGCTTGCAAGTAGAGAGACTGCAATGAGCCAGGCGTTTCCAATCACCGAAACTGCGTTTGCCACCTGGGGACAGACACCAATGCTAAGGATATCGGCATCACATGAGCAAGGGGTTATTTGCCTGCAGTTGCCCAAGTCAGAGGGTCTTGGAGCCCCTTGCCTCCGTCCACCAAGCTCCTTGCCTGCCCGCCAGAGACCCCTCCCTCCCTCCACTCCCCAGCCACATTTCTTCACATTCACAACCCTTTCCCCGCCACCTCCCATGCCAAAAATACCACAGGGGGAAAAGTACACCCGCTGTGGGTGGGGGAGCCTGGCTGGTGTCTTTGGAGGCTGCTGTGGCGGGGAGAAAGCAAAGCACAGGAGGGCTTGTTGGGCACAGCTTTATTAGTGGGGGGACTGACTTGTTCTGCCGATGCCCTTCTTTGCAAGCCCCAGTTTCCTTCGATGGTGTGGATGCACGGCGTCTCGTCCCACTTCCGACAGCATCTTCACAAGATGGAGCTGCTGCACAAGGCTGGCTGTGATGAAAGGAGCAGCACGCTGTTCCCCCAGGTTTGCCTTCATTATTTAATAATGAAGTGGAGGCACTTCCTCCCACGAGGAGTGCCTCATGGACCTGGCATATTTGCTCAAGAAGACTGATATTTTAACATTATCTCTTGGAAATCTCACGGAAGTAGAAGCTGATAATGAACAGTGGAGTGGGGATTTCCTCCCACTTTTAGTTGGAGCAAGGCGAATAACACTGAGTCGGTTATTAACCGGTTGCTGTGGTCACCGGATTAGCTGAACCTCTCTCTGCACCCTCTCTCTGTCTTCTCTGAGGACCCCCTCAGGCCCCACGATTTCACCTCTCCCACAGGGCTCATGCTTCTGTGGTGGGACCACAGTGCCGGCTTTCCCAGCCGCTCTGCTTTCCTCTGCCCCCGCAGTTTATTCTCCCCAGTAGTCTGCAGTCTGAGGAATGAGGTGGCCCAAACCAACCTTCTTAAAATGTTGCTTCTTTACCTCTAAAAGCAAAGCCCAGCTTTGTGGGGAGAAGGGCTACGGATGCCAAAGTGCCACTTAACATGCCAGGTGAGCTGTTTCGGTCCAGGCCCATTACACCTGGGGTGTTGGCATCACTGATTTGCTGACTCTCCCTTTCCCATCCCTTGAACGATGGATGCCTAAACCATGTTGGTGCTCCCAGAGCCAACATGGGGAGCTCCTCTGTGCAGTAAGCTGTGCAGCATCCATGTGAGTGGCTCCTTCATCGTCTCTCACCATGTGTGCCAAGAAGATTACATCTACATTTTCCATTCTCCCCTCTGGCTGCATCTTCACAAAGCCACAGAAGCACAGAGTGACCGACGTTGGAGAGGACCTTGGGAGGTCTCTAGTCCAACCTCTTGCTCAAAGCAGTGCCAACTTTGAAGCTAGGTTGGGTTTCTCAGGTCCTTGCCCTGTCTTGTTACGAACACCTCCGAGGATGGAGATTCCCCAGCCTCTCTGTGCAATCTGGTGCAGTGCTTAACCACCCACCATTTTTTGTGAAAAACTTCTTTTCTTTTATCAAGCCCAAATTTGCCTTGTTGCAACCTTTTACTGTTGCCTCTGACCCTCTTTCTGTGCACGTCCAAGAAAAATATGACTCCATCTTCTCTATAAGCTCCACAGAGGTAGCTGAAAATGTCCCCCAAAAGCCTTGTCTTCTCCAGGCTGAGCAGACCTAGGTCCCTCAGCCTCTGCTTGTATAACTTGTGCTCCAGCTTGGTGGCCTGCACCGGCCTACAGCATGTTAGGGTCTGTTTTATATTGGGGAGCCCAAAACTCAGCACAAGTGCCAAGTAGATGGGAAGGATCACCTCCCTGGACTTGCTGGTGATGTTTTTCCTAATGCAGCCCAGGAGGCTGTTGGCCGCCTTTGCTGCAAGGGTGCATTACCCACTCGTGGTCAACTTGTTGTCCACCAGGACCCCCACCAGGGCTTTCTCTGCAGAGCTGCTTTCAAACTGGCTGGTTCCCAGCATGTACTGGTGCCTGGGGCTTTTCAGTCCCAGGTGGGGAACTTGGCAGTGCCTGTAGTTGAATTTAATGAAATTCCTGTCCAACCCGTCCACATTCCTTCGACCGGCAGCCCTGTCCACATTCCTTCGACCGGCAGTCCTGTTCCACCAAGCACCTGTGAACTTGCTGGGAGTGCTCTCTGTCCCTAGCTCATGTTGGTGCTGAGGACACTAAACTGTACTGACTGCAGGATCAGTCCCCGAGGAATGCCACTAGTAGCTGGCCACCAGCAAGACTCTGAACTGTTGACCATCAGCCTGTGGCCACAACAGCCAGTGTAGTCCCATCAGTAAACTACACCATTCATGATACATGATTCTCAACTACTGCTCTGGTAATTTTTTTTTTCTGTAGTAACAGTTCATATTTAAGAAATTAACTTAAGACACCAGTATAGCCAAGCTCGGTTTTATAATTTAGCATTTAAGCAATCAAAAAGACGTTAAGCCTGATAGTGCAGATCCAACAGAGTACGGAAAGAAGGAAAGCAGTAGCTGTGGCTGTTACAGGGAACAAGTTGCACCATGTGTTTCAAAACCGTGCTGGTTTTATTTATTGGTTTGGTTTCAAAACTCCCCAGTAGTTTTCAGAAGTTCTACTTGTCCCGTCAGCAGACGTAAAGCCCCATGCTGGCGAGTGCAAACAGGACTGAGACGTGAAGCTTACAGAAATTGCACACATTTCAGTGTCTTTTGTACTAAGTTCCTTTTTTTAAGCCTTGGGTCTTGCAAAGCTGAGCTGAGGCTTTAGATAAATTCTGAAGTATCTTGGAAGTCTTGCTCATGGCCTCACCTAAGTGCAGCAAAGGCCATTCTTGTTGTAAGGTAAATACTTAAATGCTTTGTATTCATTGCTGATTAAAAATGAAAGCTGAAAATGGGAAACTACATGTATTTTTGCATTTATGTGTGTGTACCTGCTCTATTCTGTCCACGTGGACGTGGCAAACCTGTTTACTTCTTTCCCTTTCCTGGCTGTCTATTATGTAGCTGTAGACACATATACCTTCCTTAGCATGTTTTTTCTTGTCTAAGCCACCCCAGTTCTGCAGTCTTTTCAGGCCGCGTTCTCTTCACTTCTGATCATGGTTGTTGCTGCGGTTTTGAGGTTCTCCAGCTGGTCCCCATCTTCGCTGAGCTGTAGCTACCCAGACCAAACACGGTCCTTGGCTGAGGCCGTTCTGGTGGTGATTAGCACGAAGGCTTCACGTGTCTTGAAGAGGATAACGCTATGTTGTGCCCCCCCCAGCGTGGCGCTTGCCTTCGTACCACAGCAGGACACTTCTGCCCTCCCCACTCCCCGTCTCCCACCCCGCTGCCTTGCTCTGGCCCTGGGTTTGGGACGCTGGCGGTGTCAGTCCCCAGGCCGGAGGGCAGGAGATGGTGGATGTTGGAGACTAAATCCCCTCTCTATCTGTGGG